GACATATTAATTTCACTTGGAACTGGCTAGTCAACGTTAGCTAGCTAGTTTTATCATGTGTAATACGAGCCAGCCTTCAGAGCTGGCTATACTAGCTAACGTGATCTATGGTATAATAGTGCTATAGCTTTATGGTCAAAATTATAATAGTCCGGTACTGACGACACCTCCACACTCTTATTACCAGAAATCTTGTACAGTCAGTTCAACATATGAAGATATTTTCATGCCTACAGATTCATGTAATGTCCACTGTTTTCCTTTACAATGCTGTTCTCTGGGTGGAGAAGCCTCTGAAGCTATTTAGACATCATGAGACACTAAAAAAGTTTCCTCCCAAACTCAGACTAATAGAAGATTTTTCGTTGAGTCAGCAGCTGCTGGAGGCTCCGTGAGGCAGGTTTTATGAACTGTTAAATAATCTCCTCTCACACCACACTGCCTCTGCATTTCTGTTCATGCTATAAAGGTAATAACAGCACACTGACCAGTTGTGGACTGTCAGGAACCTTCATCACACCAGGGACTGGTCGATGATTATAGATTATTGAGGCTGATACTGATATCGATATTTGAGATAAAAAAAGTAACAAAAATTGTATTAATTTATTATTTGTTTTTACATGAATACACAACAGTTTTGGCAAGAATCTCTCAATGAGGTGTGACACCAAGTTTTTTACAGCTGAACAATAAAACTACAGTAACTGTGAATAACTGAGCAATGTTATGTGGAAATTACTTCTTTAAACTCTTAAAGGTCCCATATAGTATAAAGGTAGATGTCCATGGGTTGTTTGATTATAAAGCAGGTCTAGGTTCTGTATTGACACTGTGAAAGCATTAAAGTGCTCAGTCCACAGAGAAATGCACACAGTTGTATTCAGAAACTGAGCCTTAAAACCAGCTGTCAGGACTTCTGGAAATTTGTGATGTCACCACAAAGCAGTCACCACCCCAAGCCCCACCCACCCAGACCCACCATCCAACCTTTCAGGATTTGGTTTCTCTGAGTGTTTTACCTGAAATCTGCTTAATTTTTATTGGATCACTCAAAAAACAGTCAGCCAATCAGAAGAGATGCTCAGAGCCTCCTCTTTGGCTCCCAGACCTGTTGTTACTAGAGAAGCCTGAGAGAGGAGATATACCACTACATTGAGAATGGAGGCGAGTGGTTTACTCTCACACACCACCCATTCACTCACTCACTCAATATAGTATGATAATTTATAGGTACACCTATATATAGTATATCTTCTTATGAATGTCAAACCTTCAAAATAAAACACAGGAAAAGGGTAAAATAGTGAGACAGAGACAAAATTACAGCTTTTTTAATGAATCATCAGTTAATCAGTGATATGTTTTTTCTCTCCCCTTTCTCCCTCCTCTCTTTAAGATAATCAGCTGCTTAAAGAAGAGAACAGTTGTATGTGTGGGTCACAAGCTCAAATCATATTTGTGTGTTTATAGCTATGTAATTTACCGTTTACTGTTTCTACGTCTTGTTTGTTTGCTGTTTGTATATAAACAGAGTTAGAAGCAACTAAGTAAATTTTCTCAAATATTGTACTTAATTAGGATTTTAAGGTACTTAAACAACAAGTCCTCCAACCCAAACGACCTTCTGATACGACTGATAGCATTTCCTGAATAGGCATCCCTATGGCAAAAAGACATCTAAGCAGTCCTCCAACCTGAACAACCATACAGGTCGTTTATTCAACCCTCTGATACGACCCATAGAAGTGTCTCCTGAAATAGTGTACCGGGCCTTGGTGTCATGGTTATATACCAATAAACATGCAGACTGTACCAAAAGCGGCGCACTGGACCTTTGTCACCATGGTTACATTAAGGAACGCTCTTGGCCTCTCTAGGTTTAGGTACAAAAACTGCTTGGTTAGGTCTAGGAAAAGATTGTGGTTAGGGTTAGGTTTAGAACAGGTACTTCCATAGATGATCTTTGCTGTCATGGTTACAACAATAACAACGTGGCTAACTGCCGAACAGTGATGGATAATAGAAACAACATAACTGTTACTTTCACATGGGAATTAAACACCCCAATGACTTTGTCACTCTTTATACTATAACACCGCACTTTTCCCTCTGCTCCTGTCCTAATTACTATGTCCACTAGATGTTGCATAGCAACAAAACCTAACTATGGGTTATAATAACCTGCTGCACAAATGAAAGAGCGCTTAGTCTTCTGATTTCTCATTGGTTCACCCCATAGATACTGAAATTCATCAACATATTTCCCTTCGTATTTGTTCACCTTTATTCTCTTCATTGCATTGTGGTGACAAAAGTCTTACACATCAACACTAGTATCATTTATGGCACTTTTATATCCCTACACAGATTGAATGTGTTACTCATGGTTTGTCCTTCACCAAACAAAGAGCTCCATACTCCCTCCATCACCTCATCAGGTCACTAACAAACGTTGCCTCCACGGAGTTCAGCTCTGCTTCTTCTCCACACTAACCCACCTAATCCACTTTAGGCTATACATAATCATAAGCAACACTAAAGGAGCGGGAAATTTGTGCTGACGTGCCAGGAAAGCGAGAGTGCAGAGGAATCCGATGGCAGGGGGTCCATGGGAAATAAATGCTGACTGAAGAAGTAGCAGAGGAAGAATTGCACTTCAGGGACACTGCTTTAGGCGAGAAAACAACAAAGTAGGGCTAATAATAAAAGTGCACTCGGGTTTATTATTTTGGTTATTGTATGACAGGAGTATCAGACATCCTGTGGGAGGAGTTTCAATAAATCTCTTTGGGTTGAAAACAGTATTCAGGATGAAGTTTTCCTTCATTAGATGAGACAGTTGTGTAGTTAATTCCACACTTGCTCGTGCGTCAGGAGCAGCTGTGGATGTGAGGTGTGTGTGTGCTTTGTTTCAAACAAACCTTGGGTCTTACCTTGTACAAAAGCTTCCACAGCATCAGACAGTTAATTGGGCTCTTGTGTTTCCGTGTAGTTGCCAGGCAGCTGGAGCCAAACAAGTTGTAATGTGTTGTCAAGAAGATGCAGCAATTAGATCTCATGGGTCTGACGTATCAGCAGGGACAGGAGTCACTCCTCATTTGCGCAGAACAATTCGCTGGCATGTCGCTACAGTGGCTGAATGAGCACATAAAACCCGTGCGGTGATGAGACTGTAAAATCTGACTGCACTCATCCCAAAGGCAGAGGAGTCAGCAGATAAGTAACAGCATCAAAAATCAGCAGAGAAACACAAAGACACTTTTCAACTCCAGATTTACTCCCATTGGGCCTCACTCACAAACACTGAGGATTACGCACAAACTCGGGATTCATCAACTTTTCCTTATCTGAATTTGCTCCTTCTCTGTGAACAAATGTAGACCTGCCTGAGACCATGTAAGAATTCTTTGAAAATATGAACACACCTTTTAACTAAAGGCACAGCATATTAAAATTACATTCATTAAAGAATGTGTTAGTAGACAACAATATTTAATATTTACTAAGTTTTTTGCCAGATGTATTGAATAACTATGAAATTAATTGATTAATTGACAAAGAAAGAGCCGGCTGGAAAGGCTGTTTGGCCGCTGGTCGGCGCTAGGGGACAACCCTGTGTCGCGGCTAGACTTGCAGGCATGACCCATGTACAGTGTTTTGCACACGGAACTAAAATTGCCAACAGTGGTGCGAATACTTGGCAGGATCAGACGTGTTACTACCTTTTTTTAGATGCAGCACTTGTAGCTTGCCAGTAGCTTAAGCACAAACAAGTTTCCAACTGTTCTGAGTCTGAAGGCATGAAAATAAACTCTTTTTGTTTATGCATATAACATTGTGTGTTCTTTATACTATAAATAAGAATTTTTCTAAAAATAGAAAAAAAATCGCAATATATCACCTTGCTTATAGTATCCCAATATATCGCAATATATTGTATCGTCACCCCCCTTCAGGATATGTATCATATCACCAGATTCTTGCCAATACACAGCCCTAGGGGAGACTGGAGACAGTTGCAACACTTGTTGCATTCCTCTCATTTACTAAGAGACTATTTGGACTAGACCAACCAAACTTTTATATATTAAACTTAAGTCTGTCTGCTAATTACCCATACTATTTAAAGTTGATTACATATGATATATCTTTCACAACATTTATTTGAATGAAAGAATTCAGATGTTGCAACTGAACCCACTGCAAATGACCCCATTGTTATCTGTTAGAAGGGTTGTTGAGCTGCTCAATCAGGGAGAGGGGAAACAGGTTTGCATCATTAGCTTCTCTAGTGAGGTACTTGGCTTTGTTAGGATGAGGGGAGATAAAGATAAAACTGCTCTCTCGTAAAAAAAAAAAAAATTGGTTAAACTTTGTGCACTTATGAGTAATTTGTGTGCAGATTGTTATTGTCAGCAGTAACAGAAGAATCCAGTGTTATAATTGTGTGCTGTTCTGTATGCTTGTGCTTGTGAGTGTAGCTGACCCCCATACTTACTTGAGCAGGTGGTATGTTCCAGTTAGGTGAAGAGGAGAAGGTGGAATGCCATTCAACTGTCAGTAGTGATGAGAGGAGGTGGCAGCTTGCTGTGAGGCTGCGGTGCTTTTGGTTCAATTTACAAGGGTTCATTTCTCCTGTTTGTTAATATTTTTGTAATAAATATATTTTTTAAGCAAATATTATGACCTGCTCTTTGGCAACTTTATGTTAAAGGTTTCCAGTGCCCAAATACCATTGTCTCCTCCATTTTTATTTTTTATCTATTTATCTCTTAATCTCTTTTGATATGTACATTTGTTTTGCAATAAATGTTTCTATTTCGGAACTGTAGTTTTAACATGTAGTTTTATATATAAGTATACAACATTATTCTGCAGGTGAAAGGCGAGGTTAACTAACTTAAATTGCATTTACTGCAGTACAGTGGCTGTTATTCTTTGTGACTGTTTTATTTTGAAATTCCTACACGGAAAGAGTATTACTTACTTTCCGGTGGTCCGTGAATGCTGCTCCGGTGTTGTTTTGCAACAAAAGCTTTGTATTAAATAATACCAAACAGAAGTATAGATTGTTTTTAACCCGTCATAATGAATTTCCGCCAAAGGTTTAGTGTGACAGCACTTCAAACACGGTCCGTCCTCTGCGCTTCCGCTTCAATTTGGCTCGTTTAGCTAACGTTAGCTAGCTTTGTTTTTGATAGCACCGCGGTACAGAGGTATGCTGAATACATTTCACATATACGATGACTACGATGGGTTTTTCAATTCATGGAGTCATTTAATGTTTTTATTGTTTTAATCCTCTTTGATTTAAACATTTTATGTTATTGAGAGAGACCTGTGTACAAGAAACAAACTTAAAATATGGACACATAAGTCACATACATCGCATCATTACTTTCTATTATATTATCTACTATTTCTGATGGCAGTGGTGGGTGTTTTATCAGGGGAAGTGGAGCCTGTGCTTAATGCTGAAACTTTATAAACTTACCTACACATTACATCAGCTGCTCCACCTGGATTTTTGACCTGTCTAAAATAAGTCCAGGTCTCTGTCAGTTCACTGCTGATCCACAAACACAAATCCAGACCAGGACAGAGGTCTAGGTTAACAAAAGGGGGAAACACATAAACATTGATGTGTATTACAGTCTAATCCAGATCACAGGTTTTAACCCCTAATCAGCTTGATTCTTCATGATTTTATAAGAACTGCTTATAAACATGATTTTAACTTTTACATTACATTATATAATTTTTACTTTGTCATTGTTGAATGCACAAAAGAAAAAAAAAAAATCATATATTACTGTTGTGTCTGTGCAGGTATTGAGGATGACAGTCCTGAATCTGTCCTTTGCTGCCTGTGGTTTCATGGGGATCTACCACCTGGGTGCTGTGGGGGCCTTCCTCCGCCAGGGTGACAAGCTGCTGGGCTCCCTCAGGGCCTGCGCTGGAGCCTCTGCCGGGGCCCTTGTGGCTGCCATAATGATCACGGCTCCTGACAAGTTGGAGGTAGAGTGTTTAGAGAATAGTGCAGTGGTTTACTAAGCAGGATTGGGGGAAGCCTCAGGGGCTTCCAGAGCAAAAGAGGTACAGAAACTTCATCATAATTAGTTTTTAATTAACAGAAATTTCATAATTTACAAACAGTCAATGTGGAATGAAAGACTTTTCTAAGATTTCCAGGCCTTTAAAGGTGTCAGGTACAGGTTATGTCCTGGAACAGGTTGACAGTCGTCCAAAAAACAGATGACATGAAGCAGTTAAATAAGTGTGTGTGAGATGTGGATGTGTCAGTGATGAGTTGTGATGATTTCCTTCTCTTCCAGCACTGTAAAGACTTCACCTACAGGTTCGCCGACAGTGTGAGACAACAGCAGTTTGGAGCAGTCACACCAGGATACGACTTCATGCTCACACTACGGTAATCACTCAGCAGGTATCAATGAAACACCGACGTGGAACTGACTCTATCACGACTGTAGCAGAATAGCAGATTTGTATTCATGGTGTGAAGAAAAATCCATGTGAAACTTATAAATGCATCGCAGCATGAACTAAATGTCAGAGAGGACATATACCTTATTTTCGGGTTGTTCGTCTGTCCCGTTCTTGTGGACACAATATCTCAGTAACGCCTCGACGGAACTTCTTCAGACTTGATAAAAACATTCACTCGGACTCAAAGATGAACTGATTTAGACTTTGGTGGTCAAAGGTTAAGGTCACAGTGACCTCATGAAAAGCGAATTTGGCCTTGTTAACGCAATAACTCCATAATGCCTTGACGGAACTTCTTCAGTTTTGTTACAAATGTTCACCTGGACTCAAGGATGAACTGATTAGGTTTTGGTGGTCAAAGGTCAAAGGTTAAGCCATTACTCCAGACTTCAGGCAATTATGACAAAATTTCACACAAATGATTGATATTTTATAAACCGAACTTGAAACTTGTCTGAGTAGCGGAGGCAGACAACCTCCAGGTGGTAATTCTAGTTCTTTACTGTTTTACTGAATCACCAGCCACGATAGCCACAATCACAGGAAATGCACCAGCTTGAAAAAACATTTGATTTATCCTTTAAATTGCTGTGGAAACTGGTTTGGAAAGAGCATAATTTGACGCCTGCATCTCACATTAGACATGTCACACAGAAACGTGTTTTTCCTGCAGGTAAATGTGATCGAGTGACAGCTTTTTCTCAACGCGGTGACACCCATCATCTCGGGCTGTCAAGATTTAAAAATGAATATAATTATTTTTCATTTGCTGAACACAAACAGAAAGCTGTGGATGGAAGTGAGGAGAAAGGGGGGGGGGGGGGCTCTTATTGCAACATGACGCACAGTAATGAAACAAGAGTGAAGCATCTGTTACCTGGTTTACGTAGAAATAGTGGACGTAGGTGTTTCAGTCGGTGTGTTGTTTCCTCTACAGGGAGGGCATCGAGGAGATTCTGCCCACTGACGCTCACAGTCTGGCCACTGACCGTCTCCACGTCTCCATAACACACTCCAAAAGTGGCAGGAACCATGTAGTGTCCCGGTTTACGTCGAGGGAGGACCTCATAAAGGTACGCAACCCCCCACTCTAGAAACATCACTTTAAAACCCAGTGTTGTACATCGTTTTTTTCCTCCACAAACTCTTCTACCTGTGTAGAATGTAGAATGTAGTCCGCAGCTTGCATCGGCTAAGACTCGCACACGGTGAAAGAGGAAGCAGGAAACCAAGGTAATAGTGGGGGAAAAGTATTTGAGGGTCTAACTGTAACTGTATTGCTCATGTTAGCTTGTGTGTTTTAACTCCTCCAGGCTCTGCTGGCTAGCAGCTTTGTTCCTGTCTATGCTGGACTCAGACCAGTGGAGTTCAGGGGACAGGTAAGATTCACCTGTCCAAAGGAAAACTCTCATATTTGTCTCATATCTCATGTTGACGTTCTCCAAAGTTAGTGGTTCATTATTTCTGACAGCGACTGATACATGTGTATGTGGATTTGACTCTCAGGTTTTGACTCTGGTTTTGACTCTCTGGTTCTTTGTTATCAGACGTGGATCGATGGAGGGTTCACCGACAGCCTGCCAGTTCTGCCCGTGGGGCGAACCATCACCGTGTCCCCCTTTGCTGGACTGCAGGACGTGTGTCCTGTCCACAGGGGGCGCTTCAGCACTCAGCTCAGACTGGCCAACATGAACATAATGGTGAGAACCTTTCTTCTGATTCACTGACCTGTTGTTGTTCCAGAGAGAAGCTTAATGAGTTGTTCTCTGTTCCCTCAGTTTTCCGTGGAGAACATCAGGCGTCTGAACCACGCTCTGTTCCCTCCATCCACCAGCAACCTGCAGGTTCTGTGTGAGGAAGGTTTCAGCGACGCCGTGAGGTTCCTGAGGAGAGAGGCCTGGATCAGCTGATGCTCAGACTCATTCACAGAAACCTGAGAGTGGATTTTATGGATTTGACTTGTTTTATTTTCTGTGTGATTCTGTTTTTTTCTAGAGTGTGACGTTGTAGAAAAAATGTCAGATAAGTGTTATCGCACACACACTCTGGGTCTTCTCCTCTGTCAGTAGCTGAACATGATGAACAGCCTTCATGTGAAGAACAGCAGCTACTGCCGCACTTCACAGGAAGTGGACAGCGGAAGCTCCATGGATGGAGCTCCAGGTTACTGTGTGCTTCCAGCGTCAGGAGACGTGAGCAGGTTCTCCATCGGTTCTCAGCTGGTCAAACTGCTGTATTGATGCTCCACAGGCCTTTGGTTCATTCAGTGTAGCAGGTGTATGACCCCGTGACAGCTGCTGGGTCCTGTACTTCCCAGACAGACCATGTCTTTGTTTCCCACAAGCTTTTTAACCGATGATGGAGATGAACGTGTAGGAGGAACCAAAACCTGCATGCTTTACTCAAGTTTTTATTGTTTTTATCCATTTTCGAGTTTTATCATCAACATTGACGTTTGTTTTCAATGTTTAAATTTGAAATGCACCAAAAGAAGCAGGATTTATTTAGGATTCATGAGGAAGGAAATGTATTGAACGTGTTTTTAGAGCTCGAGGACAGACAGTGAGACACAGGTTTCAGTTGCAGTTTTGCGCAAAATAGAAAACGATCTTTAGAAGTCCACAAAACACAACCGCGAATGTTTTTTTTTCCCATTTGTGTGACTTTATCTTTTTCTTTTCATGACGACTTGAATGTGAAAGTGAAATATTTCTTTGTGGAATCTGACAAACCACCTCATGTGAGTGCATACATTTTTTTTGCTGATTTTAATCGCGTATTAAGCTGGTTAACGTTTGTTGACAAACAAAATAGATGCAACTTTTCAGAAATTATGTTAAAATGTATTCACTTTTAAAAAAAAAACTAATTAAAGGTTAAAAGAAAACAATCAAAATAATTTTATAAACCCAAGAAATGACTTTTAATAGTGGGGGCCATTTTATTCCAAACGCTTAATCAACGTATTATTTTCTTCATTTCTTTTTCACTTCACCGTTTTTCTTTTCTATCGTTGCATCTACACTAAAATGCCATTTTTGACTTGAGTTTAATGATAAAGGACTTTAGTTCCTGATGTTGAGTGTTTGTTGATGAGTGGGGGTCACTTTGGTCAAACATATTAATGAATCTATATCTAAATGTACAGTGGCAAGAAAAAGTATGTGAACCTTTTGGAATGTCATGGTTTTCTGAATAAATTTGTCACAAAATCTGATCTGATCTTCATCTAAGTCAAGGGTATTAACAAATATAATGTGTCTAAAATAATAACACAAGAAGTGAACCCTTAGAATTAATAACTGGTTGACCCCCCCTTAGCAGCAATAACCTCAACCAGGCGTTTCCTGTAGCTCTGGATCAGAACTGCACATCGTTGAGGAGGAATTTTTGCCCGTTCTTCCTGGCAGAACTGCTTTAAGATCTGCCATATTCTTTGGATGTCTCATGTGTATGGCTCTGTTCAAGTCAATCCATAGCATTTCTATTGGGTTGAGGTCTGGTCTCTGACTTGGCCACTCCAAAAGGCGGATTTTGTTTTTCTGGAACCATTCTGTTGTGGACTTGCTCCGGTGTTTTGGTGTCGTTGTCCTGTTGCATCACCCACTTTCTGCCGTAGATACCCTGCTTGTTCAATGTTTTACGTATTGTAGACTCATGAACAGAGATGTTAGCCAGTTCCAATGATGCCTTCAAATCCTTGGCTGTCATTCAGGGTTGTTTCTTTACCTCACTGATGAGTCTTCGTTGTGCTCTTGGTGTCATTTTGACTGGGCGTCCACTTCTTGGTAGAGTAGCAACAGTCCCAAAGTGTCTCCATTTATAGATTGTTTGCCTAACTGTAGACTGGTGAATTTCTAAAGTCTTTGAAATCACTTTGTAACCCTTGCCAGCTTTATTTAAATCAACAATTCTTTATCGTAGATCCTCTGAAAGCTCTTTTTGGCGAGGCATGGCTCACATAAACGTGTTCTTCTTTTGCAAAACCATCTCCAAAAGTTTGAGGGGTTTTTATCACTCAAAGTAGCTTTAGTCCACACCCCCAGACTCATTGTCTTAACGAGACTCCAGGTATGCTAAAACCTGACACCAATTAGCTTTTTTGAAGTCATTAATTCGAGGGGTTCGCATACTTTTTCCACAAGCACCATGAGGATTTTTTGGTTATTCTCAATAAAGACATGAAAGATCAATTTTTTTTTTTTTGCGGTATTATTTAAGACACATTATATTTGTCAATACCCTTGACTTAGATGAATATCAGATCACATTTTATGACAAATTTACTCAGAAAACCATGAAATTCCAAAAGGTTCACATACTTTTTCTTGCTACTGTATATGTATAGGTCACCTGGGACATTCAGTATTTGAGTGGTTAATATTTCTTTCACGTTTTTTTCTTTGATAAAATTTTAAAAGTTGCTAGTTGATATCTGTTCTTTATCCATTTTCTCCCATAATTAAACTGTTTCTAATTGTCACATATTAAGCCCCGCCCCCCTCCATCAGATATTATTTATTGATTTAATCACGTTTTACCGACTATTTACTGAAGCATCAAAGTTAATTTTTCAAACATGAACTCAAGGACTCCTTACTCGCTCTTTCATGTACTTTCAGTTATATGGTCTTCTTCATGTGAGAATTTGATGCTCACCTCTGAAGCCAGCACAGATAATATGTGTGGATGGAGATTTCACCCACTGATGAAGACCACATGGCGCAGTTAAAAGCTCATAAGAGGACCTTGAGTTCATATTGTTTTGTTGCCTGTCAAGACATTGAATGTTTAAAACTTGACTTCCAATTATAAAATAAAATATTTCTATCTAGTCATTGATGATGTTGAGGAACACAAACATCTCAAACAGCTTTAAACCTTTTAAACACACACACACACACACACACACACACACACAGATGTGTCTGGTCTTATGTGAGCCCACCTGCTGGTTCTCCTAATGAGGCTCAATTAAGGCTTCCCTTAAATTACACTTCCCACCCAGGGGGGGCAGATTCCCCTCATCTTGTTGGAAAACTGCCTCCCAGTAAAGAAACACTAAAAGGGGCCCCGCTGTCTGATGGGGGCCAACTACAGGAGCCCGTTTGTTAGTGTAATTATACAGCTGCTGACTTCACTGTGCAGCACCTGCAACGTGTTACCACTCTGATAAGCATGTGTCAGCTGAGTCGTTGCATGTAAAACACTGTACTGAGTCACACGAGCTCATCTCCTGTGCCCCCCCCCCATCGTGGGGAATGCAATTGAAACTACATCTCTACAGTCGATGCTGCTGCTGCTGCAGGTAGAGAGCTGAAGCTAATAAACAACAAACACAACCCTCTGTTTCCTGAGGGCCCGGCCAGGAAATGATGTTTACTCGGAAACAGGAACTCTATAACCTACTAGCTACTTAATGATTATTTTCTGCAGTGTATTATGTATGAATGTATACACCGTGTGAAGGGGTGTTTGCTCTACACCGGTCTCACTCGCTGGTTATTTACATATCACCGAATCATAAATCATAATCAAAGCAGGTTGGATCAGCTGGAGCTGGAACAGCCTGATATGAAGGAATTACAATAATCCAGCCCGGAAGTTAGAAAGCAGGGACTACTTTTTCTCAGTCTAAACGCTTACTCTCTACTGTGCAAAAAAAACCCAGTAAGTAAATGAATAAACCACAGTTTTCTGAAGGGGTGCTTTAATTTTTATTGAAGCTGCATTAATTGATTCTTTTTGGCTACTTTTGGGGCAGCAGATTATTCTGGAAATGCACACTGTTTCCTGTATCTGTCTTTAGCTGCTAAATGCTACCCACATTTTCTCTGCATGAATTTTTTTTAAAAGGTCCATATAGTCTAAAGGTAGATGTCCATGTGTAGTTTGTAGATAAAGCAGGTCTAGGTTCTATATTAATACTGTGAATGTATCAATGCGTTCAGTCCACAGAGAAATGGAAACAGCCTGTATTCAGAAACTGAGCCTTAAAACAAGCCATCAGGACCTGAATTTAGTGATGTCACAACAAAGCAGTCACTGCCCAAAGCCCCGCCCATCTGGACCCACCATCCAACCTCACAGGATTTGGTTTCTCTGAGTTTTTTTTACCTGAAATATGCTATATTTTTTTATTACATCACTCATAAACAGTCAGCCAATCAGAAGCGAGGCTAAGAGCTTGCGCTCTTCTTATTGGCTGCCTGTTTTCTGCTTGAGATAGCGGATGTAAGACTACATTGAGATGCTTTTTGGTTCTTAAAACCACAAATATATTTTGTTATGGATCAACTTCAAATAAAACATGGAAGAAGAGAATATGGAGTTTTAAGACATGTGGAGTATTTGTCTGTCTAGCCAATAGGAACATTTTCCTTTTCAGAATAAAAGCATAAACTGGAACATAGCGACTGATTAGTGACTATGAGGATGAGTGACTGCTCCAACTTGAACCAGCGTCTTTATTAATCACACACAAGTAAAAAATGAAACTGTGATGGCTCAGACGTGACTGCAGGCCTCACCACTAACATCACCAGTCTTTGTGTTTACAAGCCTGTGTTTATCTGACTGTTCATGCTCTTTTGTTACTTCCACAGATCATCTACATAACTAAGTGATATACTGTAAAACTACTGTAAATTAAACTTCTGTTTAAACTGAGTCAGAATGCTGTGAGGCCTGACAAATATATTTATTTCATAAAATATTAAAGGTGCTGTTTGAACACTGTTTGTAAAGCTTGTACGCTGCAGTACCACCACCAGCTGTTGATGTGCACTTCCACTTCAAGCAGCTTCATCCTCACTGTCACATTTCCTGCCAAGTCTCTGGTGTGTGACTGGTCCCAGACTACTGGTCCTGCTGGTCCTGCTGGTCCTGTGGACACTGACACAGCTGTCCCAGCGTGGAGCAGCAGGGCTGCAGCCACGGCTTCCAGAGCAGTTTCCCGGCAGACATCTGGCTCTCCACAGGCTCCACCGACCTCCGGTGCCTCTCCACAGCCTCCTCCATCACAGCCAGGATGGAGTGGAAGGCCGGCTCGGTGTCGGGGGTCAGCGGCGTGCTCTCTGACGGATCCCTCGAGAGATCAAAGAGCAGCGGAGGATCGTGGTGGGTCACGTACTCCGGCGTGCAGAAGCAGATGTGCGTGTGGAAACAGGCCGTCTCGTTCTCTGGGTGGAAGTTGGGTGTGAAGTAAAAGGCTTTCCACACCGAGCTACCTGAGGAGATTCAAATTAAACATTTCGCCAGATGTCTCCTGACTTTAAATTCTGAAATGATGACCAGGATTCAAACTATGTCTGAGCCTCAAATAACAGCAAAGAGAGACAGCAGAAGAGCACATCTGTAAACACCTGTCTGCCTGAAAGCGAGCTCTTTTTTGGTTCGACTTACATGTTATTTTGTTGTTCTTGTTCTATTTCCCACCATATGTGATATTTTTCATAACACTGAGAAAATACTTAAATAAAAAATTAAATACAATAATATAATTATGTATTATTATAAAAAAAAACTGAAATATAAAATACAATAGAATATAGATCAGCATCGACATGACATCACTTCGTTCCCCGGGGGTTTGATCTATTTTGGTCAATTTACTGTAAAATACATTTAAAATTTACTGTTTGTAGTTACTCTGATTGACTTTGATTTATTTTTTCACAGTGAAGTTCATACACAACATGTCAACATAACTCTGCGTCTGATTGGCTGACAGTCTGGACTCACTGTTGTGGGGGTGCCATCGGACAGCGTTCAGGTAGGCGTTGCAGTAATGGAAGAGAAACTCGTGCTTCGACCTGTCGACTCTCCTCTGAAGCAGATCCATGAGGTCGTGTCCGTCGATGTCCCTGTGGACCAGAGGACAGCGGTGGATCAGGACTGTGGCTGAGGAAACCCTCTGATCAAAGCCTCTGGATTACCTTAACACCCCTCTTCATTAGTAAACACTGCTCAGATCCTGAGCCCAGTGATTCATTCAGACCGTGACCCAGATTTCAGGCTGCACTTGTTTTGACAATGTGGAGGGGGGGGGGCTGCCTCGCTGTCTCACCTGTCCTCTGGGACAGACGCTCCACTCAGGTGCACCACTGTAGGAAAAAGGTCCATGTTGCTGGTGGGCTCATCCACCTGTCCACCAACAGGGATTGTTCCCGGCCAGCTGAGGATTCCCGGGACCCGGATCCCTCCCTCCCAATTTGTGGATTTCCCTGCTGCTCAGAAGAAAAGAAAAGAACAGGAAGTGAAAGCAGCCCTCACTCTATGTGACTGATCTGGAGTCAGTGCTGGACTGGTAACTACAAACCAGCCACGTGCAGAGATCAAAGAGTAGCTGCCTTCCACTGTTCTTTGAATCAGGTCTTCAGGGTCCAGACAGACAGATTACATCAAATCCAGGTTCTCACTGTGGACCTCTTCAATCATTGACAAGAGTCTGCTGCAGATTCTCAAACTGGATATAGTTTATAGTTTATTTAAAGGGCCCGTACATAATTTTCTATGGGTCTCTCAATCAAAACAATAATAAAAGACGACGAATGGTGATGTCAGGAAGTAGTGTGGGATCATGGGAGTTGTTGTCTTCCCATGATTGCTGTCACCAACAGAAAACTGTCTTGTCATTAGATACCTAAGGAGTAAATGAGTAAATCTCATCAGTGAGCAAATCAGCAAGCAGCATGCTTGAACCAAGACCTAATAATGCTGGTGATTGGCTGTTTGTTTATTTATTCTTTTTTATTGGTTTAATATAAGATATAAACCAAAAACCATCTCAACGTAGTTTTACATCTCACTCTCTCAGGCTTCTCTCTGGAGCTCTAGTAACAACAGGTCAGTGAGCCAATCAGAAGAGAGGAGGCTCTGAGCCTCTCTTCTGATTGGCTGATTGATTTCTGAGCGATCCAATAAAAAATATAGCAGATTTCAGAGAAACCAAATTCTGCAAGGTTGGATGCTGGGTCCATGCTGGGGGCATTTCTCTGTGGACTAAGGGCTTTGATACTTTCACAGTATTAATATAGAACCTAGACCTGCTGTATAATCAAACAACACATGGACATCTACCTTTAGACTATATGGGACCTTTAAAATCGCAGATTTCTCTGGTTTGAGAATGGATGAAAACATTTGGGATAATGTAAGAACACAACTAAACTACAAATAGAACATAGGTCTAGTTGTTTTTAGACATTTTAATGTGTAAAAATCACAGATTATAACTTTAAAGGTTCAGCCTCCTCCCTTATTACCTTAAACTGGGCTTTATAATCAACAATAAAGGGTTAAAACCTTGCCGTGAAAGTTCCAAAAGTTTCTCGTACTGTACCTTTATATATGCCATTCCACCCTCTGTGGACCTCACCACTGGCAGAGATTTCCTCCAGGTGAGCCCCCTGGTCTGAAGACAGGTAAACCAGAGTGTTTCCTCTCAGACCCAGTCTGTCCAGAGTCTGGATGATCTGACCTGAGAACAGACACAATGTACAAAACAGTCTGTACATGTCCGGGCAACACCTCCCAGACTTCTCCTGAGACTGTTGAAGTAACAATAGCATATAATGCTGCAATAGCAGACTCAGAACAGTGAAAACAGCTTGACAAGCTCACTTTGGCTATCGTTAGTCACCCGTCAAAGATCCCAAGATTATCCTCAAGGTGCAAACATCCAAAAAATGCTTGTCCCCTCTCTGCCTGACAAACTCCAACAAGCTAGCAAGTCAAGCCTGCTTCTGGACATAGTTCATACTTTGCAGGACCCGTGTTAGTTCCATGTGAACACCGTTTTTGTTGTTTCATCAAGGCTTTCGTCGTATGGAAGTAAACAAAAGCACACTTTGGTTATAGCTAGCTAGCTGTGAAAGATCCAGGATTATACTCTCAAAAATGCTGCTCCAATGACAAGCTCCAGCTATTGTCAATGGGAAACGACCATGCACAAAAATGACAGAAACTACAGATGCAACTGCTGCTAGTCAAGCTAGATTCATAGACAATATACCCTGCTGCCACCGCAAGGGGGCAGGACGTTCCATAAAGAAGGGAAGATCTATGATGAAAGCCTCAACAAAACAACAGAAACCTGCAAAACAACGAGCTAAAAGGTGGCTGGAAGCTAACATGCATCCTACACTACCCACATGCAAGTGCTGTTGGCTGTGGTCAGACAGTGCAGGAAACTTGAACTTCAGGTCAAGTGGTCAGTGAAATTTTATCAGACATGTTTCTTTTTAAGTATTCTTGCTGTTCTTGATGATGTCTCCAGATTCAAAGCTCCTTGACCAAAAAAAAAAAAAAAAAGACAGAGCCACAAAGAAAGAGGAGTAACACTCCTTTTCCATTCAGCAAGCAAAACACAAAGCAATTACTGCCTTCCTCCTTTGTGCTGACACAATACTCCTCAAGCAAAAATAATTGGGGTAATTACACGTTCATTAGGAAAACAGCCCCCCATATTCGCTCCATTGTGGGGTGTTGTCGAGTGGAGGCCGTCCTTGAGACTGAACAGCAATTAGAGCAGAGAGAAAAGTGGCCGACTTCAACAAAACCTTCTAATAATGAAGGAGTGGCTGAAGTGAACCTAGAGCAGATAAGAAAAAGGTACAGAATTTGTGAATTAAACACACTCAGGGGGATTGTCCTGATATTTAAATGGTTACTGCTCAATGGAAAATGATGATGATGTGTTTCTTCTAAAACACCATGTTGGAGTTGGACTTTTTTAGTATCAGATATGACTGCGATAACTGAACAATCAGGTAGAAAATATAAAGCTATTGACAGAATATGTAGCCCAGCTAGCAAAAATGCTACCAAAAAGTAGTCAACCAATGCTGACTTTTGCCTGCAGTCCCCTCAACCCTGCAGCTACTCACCTGGTCACCAATGTCGCTGATATTTGGTTGAAAATTCAATGTCAGGACGATGTCTATAACGCCAAAGTCAGTTTGTTGTAGAAAACTTACCAAAATTTCTCTCTGGAAAAACAGATTTTCTGTGACCATCAAAACCTGAACTCTAAATAAGACCAGAACTGTCTGCATAGACAGATGTAACTCAAGGGTAATTTGTGTGAACTGACTCTTTAAATGCAGCACAAACACTGCATGAACAACATTATGTGTTTGTTTGATAAAAACTGCAGTGGAACCAAAGGGCTGTAGGTTTTGGTCTTTTCATGACATCTACCGACAATCACAAAAATCCAGAAGAATGCAATACCAGTTCTTCAAAATAAAGTAGACTCTGCAGACCTACCCACACTCCAGTCCACCTCGTGGACGGTGTCTCCGTAGATGCCGTGACGGCTTGTTCCTCTGAATGCTGCTGACACAAACATGGCTGTGTGCACTTGGAGGAAAGCAAAGAAGAGCAGGAACGGCCTCGCTGAGTTCCTGCAGAACAAGGAAGTACAATTTAAATACCAATATTACATACAGTGCAGTAAGTTCTCTGATCAGAATCTCTGATGTGTACCTCTCTATGAAGCTCACTGCCTCATCAGTCATCCTCTGCGTCAGATTTTCAGATGTGAACGGCTGCTCCACAATTTTGTGTTCCCTCATGAGGACACAGTTGAAGTATGGGATGACCATGATGAACCCTGCTATCAGACCTGAGACCAGGAGCAGCAGAGACAGCAGGCCCAGGATCAGCCCCCTCCGGATGGTGATGACGCCACTGTAGTGGAGTAAAGCTGCAGTCACCAGGGCCACAGCGAGGGTGCTGTACGGTAAATACTTGTGGATCTGGAACACGGTGCCGTGTCCGGGCTGGCAGTCCCGCAGGTTGGTCAGGGGGATCCCAAAGAAATGGTTGAAGCCGTGGACGCTGGGGTGGTGGCAGTGATCGTTGCTGCGCTCACAGTTTAGTCCGAGGTGCCATTTTCCTGGGACCAAGGAGACATTTACAAAGAAAGTAAATGAAATCAAAGTAGTCAGACCTGCACGACTACTGGTTTCAACCTTGCTGGTGGTGGAGCCTGATATGAGGTTTGATCCAAATTCATTAGGATTCATCCTTTAGGAATAAGCTCCTACAGACGTCTACTATAATGGACACTGAGCACAGGCGTCCACTGTGATGGACATTGAGCACAGACAGGACAGAAAGTGAAAGACCGTCACTGATTCAGCTCTAGCGTTTATGTTGACAGGACATTGGCCTCACATCTGCAGACAGATGTTAGCTGGTGTTCAGTCCCCGGCATGGACAGACTGAACACAGTAGAATCCAAACACTGTTCATCTAATGTCCACAGCCTCACATCTTGTAGCCAAACACAAACTGAGTGACGGGTGGCGCTAAAGAAAAAGTCAAGTTTATACACTTAATGTATTAATGCAAAATCGGAAACCACCACCTTAAAGCTGTCGTCAGAAGTAAGCACCACACCAAACACCTATCCACTGTGAGAGGATAGACTGGCAGCGTACCTACAAGAGCTGTCTCGTAGCCTTCCTGTTTGGCAATCTTAGCCAAGGTAATCTCTCGGCTGGGAAGACCTCCGGAGGCTGCGTTAAATATGAAGACACCGGGTCTGCTGTGACCTGCGACACCTGTTGAAGGGAAATCAGTTTAACATTTCAGAGCCGTCACATTTTAAATGAAAGTCAAACACCAGTGCGGAAGACTGGATCTGTAACTATCAGTCTGGATTCAGTGTTTGTGGGCCGACCTCAGTTTTGTGTTGAATAATTCAGTCATTAGATAAATGTGTTTCCTGCAGGAAGACGAGAGAAGATCTGTTTAACGGCGACAGTGTTGAACAGCTCTGTTGTCTGTGGACGTTGCCTGCAGAGCAACATTAAGCACCGTGTCAGTCAGTAAAGGTTTTTTTTTTTTTTGCATTTGCCTCTTTGAACTGGCCTGATCGGATCGGGTATCGTCCAGTGAGGAATGCCGCCCTGCTGGGGGTGCAGAGGCTCGCTGCAGCAATGTGGTGGGTGAGCTTCACCCCTTCGTCTGCTAGCTGGTCGATGTTGGGGGTCCTGAAAAATCAGAGTTCAACATCACTCAACGTTCAGAGAGACGAACGTAGGACCAAGTCATTTTACATGAAATAAAAGATGTCAAAAGGTTTTCACACTTGAGTTTTCCATACACATTTTGTTTGGTACAAAAACTGTAAATAAAGATGGATGAAATGACAAATCCCCAGAGGAAGCCAGAAATCAAGGTGGCTCCTGTCATTTTAGACAGGTAATTTTTCTGATAAGTTTTTTAATAAGCTATTAAAAAGTTGTTTTTTTTTTCAGTTCTGCACAGTCTGCTCTGCTGCTGAGTGCTTTGCTCACTGTACATTGTAACTTGGAATGTGACACATATATGGCTATATATCGTATACGGCGATATATCGTGTATGGCAATATATCATTGTATGGCGATATATCGTATATGCCGATTTATCGTATATGACGATATATCGTTGTATGGCCATATATCGTATATTGCGAAAAAGCATATGTGGCAATATATCGTATAAGGCCATATTGGGGCTGGACTGTATAGCAATATTACATTTAGGAAATTGCCCAAGCCTGGTCACAAGCAGGATTCTGGTGGTTTGTGTCTGAGATCTTGTGGTAATGTTTACAGGTACACGGACGTGAAAAACAGGAAACTGTGTTTACCTCAGTGTTTTATTGCCATAGCAACCCAGGTCTCCAATTCCCAGGTCGTCCACCATCATCAGGACAAAGTTGGGCTTCCTCTTTTCCTGAAGAGACACAGTGCTCAGCCCCAAGAGCAGCAGCAGCAGCAGAAGCAGAGAGGAAGTGGACTTCATGCTGTCGGAGCAGAGACGCTGAAGGAGGAATCAAAACAAATTAGCACCTCTGTGATGACAGCACTTTGCTCTAATTAACCTGTTCTACATTTGTATTCTAAGAATTTCAGATCTCTTTTACAGTTGTTTCTCACAATTTATTTGCTCATCTCCTTCTGGCATTAAAGACAGGAATTGATAAGATTTTATTGATACCAATGCAATTATTGATTCTGAATCAGTCCAATTCTTTATCGATTCCCTTAACAAATCCTGATCAATTGTCTGTGTGGAAAAAAAGTAGGTCTGCACAGAGTTTATTATCTGAGTCTGATGCAGGCATTGATAAAAGGATACAATAAGCCCTGAGGTGTACGATTCTGACGCTTTGGACTATCTGGAACATAAGGACACCAACTCTTTCATTACCAATTCCAGCAGAAAACTGTAGAAACTCTTCAGTTCAAGAGTGAGGAGGTCGTATTTTTGTTGTTCAAATTTATTTTCTTTTTACCCTCATGTCAACATGGTGGCCCCTGTTTTTATTCTCAGGTCTGTGGTTCTGAATAAAACAAAAAAAAGCAATCCTTCACACATTGTCTTCTATCTATTTTCATAAAACATCACCAAGATTTACTTTCATGAGTCAAAAGACTGATGTAAACTTTTAAACAGTGCTAACATGTTTTTATTTAAACTATTTTTATATTATTTAAAACAAAAATACACAGAAAACTGAGCAGTTTCCCTTAATAAGTTGGTGAACAAGGTGTTGAATGTTGTTGATACAATTTGCAACAGCACAGGTGCTCTGTGTTTCTCCATTAGTTTTTTCTAAACAGACTGTGACCGACCTGACGTCATTCACGTCGACTGTCAAATCGAATGCACCAATCGCTCCACTCTGTCCGCGGTTAATCGTCCGTGAGCTTCACCTGACCGCAGGTGAGCTGACGAACAGTGTCTGTGTTATAAACTCACCTTCACTTCCTCTATTCACAACCACAAATTCAAACTTCCTGGAGCAGTGAGCCGCCGTGAGTCACGATATGTCCGATTTGAGCTTCCTTTGTGGAGTTAGCTTGAAAGATACAGCAGCACTTCCTGTCGCGAGTTTCAAAATAAAGGTTGACGGACTCGTTGCAGAGATAAAAATAACTATGGGGAATAATATCAGGGATATTCTTTGATTACAGGAACCAAATATGGTATCCAATAGCATACAGTTGTACCCAATTATTACTGAACCCTCAAAGATTCTAATTAACATAAGCTGTGAGCTCAATGACTGTGTGAGGAGGGGAAAGTGCTCAAGGCTTCATGAGCAGGGGGTCACATTATGCAGTTTGTATTTTGTTGCAGGTACGGATAGTTACAGTTGCAGGTTTTCCTGTTTTTAGAAATGTTCTATGAATAACATACCTTATCATAAAACAAAAAAATTAATATGATCTATTATGATCTTGAATTTCCTCATTCCGTCATTATTACATCATTAATTATGATAAAATCCATGAGGCTGATTCTGCAGCATAGAATTATGAAAAGTGTACATGAGGATTCAAAGGAGATCCTTTTCCACAATATAAACAGATAGATTGTTAATTTGACTGAGCTTTGAGCACTGAGACCACCTCTCATCACCTGAGGTCACTGGTACACTAAACACCAACCAGTGTGTGTTCAGGCTCAATTCAACAACCTTCAACTGAGCAAAGAGACAGATGATCCTGTCAGCTTCTGTCCCTTCTATACATTTGTTTTAAAGTAGCATTAGATAGGATTTGTCTTTACCTTCTCATTATGAAGTGAATGTTGGTTGCAGAATGTAATGGCTGTAGATTAACGACACCAGTGGTGTTTAGATTGGTTCCCTATAAGCCTTGCTTTAACCATACAACTCTTACTCAGCTTGCCACTGGGTAAATAAAGGTTGGATTTACGACACTGTCATCTGCCACTGTGCAACCAAAATAGGAAGAGGATAACTTTTCTTTTTTTTTTGTTTTGCAAAGAGAGAGATGATTATGAAACTGATGCAGATTCTGAACTCCATCAGCGTTGGCCGGTGAGGGGAATAGCTCCGCAACGCTTTGCACGTCCTTCCCTGCAGCCAAAGTGAAAATCAACATGAAGGGCAGCAATCAAGCAGTAGCGCCGGAGGGGCCGGTCTAATTAGTCTGATTCAGACTGTCTCCTGGTGATATTTGTGCAATCAACAAACCCGCAGATACAAAAACTTAATTAAAGTGCAAATAAGCACGATCAGAGGAAAACAAACTATTGTGATGATTTACTTTATTTCTGGAGTCAAAGAAGATATTTTCAGTCGTCGTTCTTTGCGTCTGGCGGCTAAAGTTTCTTTGTAAGTACAGAAATTTTGAAGTGGTCTTCCCTGCATCGACTGGCACAACCTAGAGGGCCGGGAGTTTTTGATCAAGTTGTTTTTATTTATATAGTGTTTGTCTTTTGTTGTTGTGTGCTGCAGATTCCCGCACGAGTGCAACTCTTTCACGCTGTCACATCGGCAGGCTGCTGCCCTATCTTCCTGGCTGTTCAGAGCAGGGTAAAGTGCAAGCTCTCCTTCCGAACTGCTGCAGGCTGAGATGCCTTTCATGGCTCTGACTATGAGTGTGTGTGGTGTGTGTGTCTGTGTGTGTGTGTGTGTGTGTGTGTGAGAAAGAAAGCGAGAGAGAGAGATGAGAGAGAGAGAGAGTGAATGAGCTCTCAGTTCGAGTAGCGAAAGCAAGCAGCAACACAGCGTGGCCTCGGCTATCAACACTGAAAATTGAGATGCGCCTTATGAAATATACATCGGGTTTAAGTGAACGGGGCGTACGACTCGTACTATCGTCCCTGGCTCTAAGGCTGTCTCAAAATTACAGTCGGGTTTTATTAAGTGTGTTGATGAGATGCGTGTGGTGGGAAATCAAAAGCCTCAGCCATCTGCTCTGGTTCATGACGCCACTGAAAAAACCCCCCCTCGACACAATCAATGCATCATGTGGTGCAGAGGTTTGCTTGGTTTTGCAGTATGACCAAGGTCATGACCTTGATGGAGGTGATCAGGGAAGAAACTGCAAATCGTTTCACCTTTTTTTAGACTTGTGTCTGAAAATGGAGTTTTCTCATCCTGCTGTGATTGGCTATATAAAGAGTTTCTAAAGAACAGATGTGTGTGGAAAGGTTATCTCTGCACTGCTGCTATGTGGCATCAGCAGGGGTCACAAAGGTGCTTGAACCTTGAAAGAACTATTCATAAACATGGGGTTAATACTATACTTGGGTATTAGTTTGAGCTATATCATACACATATAGATAGATAGATAGATAGATAGATCGATAGATAGATAGATAGATAGAATAGATAGATAGATAGATATGATAGAATAGATAGATAGATAGATACTTTATTTATCCCCAAAGGGCATATATATGACTTGGTTAAAGAAGAACCTCCTGCCCAGCCTCAACAACTAAACTTGTTTTTAATTAAACTTCTGATTCAGGTTACTGGCTTCCGACCACGGTATCTGATCCTCTGCCGTTCCGGTCTTCAGGCCCACCCAGTGGATTGTTTGAATTTCCACACTAGCTGGATGGATGCCCGTGCCATATAACCTCAGCTTGCTGCCATAAAAACACAAGTTCTTCTTCCTGATGTTTCATGGGGTTTGGCAACACGTTTTTTAGTGCATTACACCACCTTGTGGTATGTGAACGTACTCTTTGCGCCAGAGGCACTAGCCATGCGGTGCTCGTTGTGCTTTGGGTTAACTTCTCACAATTAAGGCACAAATGCAGGTGAGTTTCATGTCTGTTGGTGGATTATCTGATAAAACTGGTTCACTGACCAAGTGCGCATGGTTATTCAGGGTAAGAAACCCCTCACATGTTGAAGGGAGCTTGTTGCTAGCTATGATATTATCGTGATAGGTCAGTATCTTTTCTTTGTTTCATCGTGTCTAATTGTGATGCATTTTATAAACATGCTATTCACTTACACGGAGTGGGCCACTTGATTGGTCCAATACCGCAATCACTGTGAGGAACTCAGCTCAGGGGCGCAGCTTTACACATAGACTTTGACTGTGGCAGATATAGTAACAAACTGTCAGACTTCACGATAGACATCTAATTCATCTGTTGCACAAAAGCAGTTTAGTTTTCTTACTATCTTGCCAACTGTGGTCGCAATGAATTCTAGGGGGGGTTAAATAAAAAGACGTTGTTTTTATTTTTTTAAAGTCACATTTCCTGTGACTGTCCTTCCACAATAAAGTCACTATGTTTCTGCATTGAATGCTTTTATGTACAGAAGCAGCATAGTAAATGAAGGGTTGGTAGTTATCAGTAACTGATATCCAGTTAAAGACTGAGGCTGATAATCTTAATAACATATACACTCCGTCAGTTCTTCTATATACTGAATTTATAACACATTCAATGGTTGTTGCTGACCATAAATATAAATTAAAACTAATTTAAGTGAAATCTTCAGGCAAACTTTAAATGCGTAGAATTAGGTGTAATAATACAGTATATCTTTAAAATGAAGACATCAGGACTCTGTCTGGCTGTTGATATGAGTTCTCTTGCCATGTGAACTGTTGTTTGCTGGAAAGGCCAACAGGACAGTTCCTTGTCAGTGGTTCAATGACAGCCTCAATGTCCATTGGTTCTCCTCTCATTGTGTAGGTGTAATACAAACACACACACATGTTCTGCTGTTTGAGAGCAGCTGCAGCTCTCAAATCTCTGCTTACTGACCTCCTGACTAAATGCCCCTTTGGGATTTGTTTTACAACACTGCTCCCTGCTGGTGACACTGCACATCACCCTAACCCCTGTTTGTTTTCCCCACAAACTCAACAGCAGCTACTGTGAGAAGTAAAGGGAGAGGAAGTGAAAAAAACAGAATAAAGTGAAAAATAAAAAAAATAATAATAAAATGAATCCGAGCAAACTGAAAACAATTAATGGGAAATTGGAATCGCCTTTTCAAAACAAAAGCACTGATTCCAAGTACACCCGACAAAAGAAAATTGCCAGCAACAAAGAGAATCAACAAAAAAAATCAGTGATTAAAAGATTGTAAGAATAATGTCTGGCAATCAGTTGTGTGATATTAATTTCTATTTACATTCTTTTAAAGACTTATATAAACAAAGTGGTGGGAAATTACACAAACTATTCGCGACAGAATTACAAATGATTTGGCAAAATTAATTATTGACAATAATTCCATTATAGTAAACCAAGGGAAATTAAAAAGATTAAATTACGGATACATTCTAATGTACCTTAATGACACAAAGCTAATTAAGAAAATTTAATTTCACATAATTTTTAATTGGGTTATACTTATTTTATTATTATATTCCTATGTAATTATATACTGGGATGTTGAAGAAAATTGATACAAGTGTTCAAAGAAATGTAACAATTTATATGTAAATTGAATATGGCCAATATAAAGTTCCTGAATAAA